TAAGATAACATTATACACATTATTGACTTTTTCATGTGCATGTGTTATTTAAAATGAATACTTTTCAAAATAGTATTTCATTAAAAATAAGGTAAAAGAGCAAACTGCAAAACAACTGAAAAACATAAGACAAAGAAAATCAGTATGTAAAGGACATCTCAAGTAGAAAAATCTGCAAACGTACTCACTATTATTCCACACATACAATCCCAACATAGAAGTTCAATTATCTACCCCATTTTTTTTTTTGGCTTATGAAGTTGCCAATTAATATTTTTAAAGCAAAAATGCAAGGATATAGGCACTCCTACAGACTACCAATAGGAATGGAAATTTTTTGCAGAGTAATTTGACAGCATGTTTCAGAGCATAATATTTGGCTCAACCGTAAAAGTATATAATATCTTTGTACCCAAATTTCCACTTACAGGAATTTTTCCTAAGGAATGAACTAAAAATTTACATAGAAATTCACATATCTCAAGGGTATCCTCTGAAGTACTAGTTGAAATATTTAAAGATTGGAAATAACAGAATTTCCACCTCAAAATAAATTACAGAGCTTTAACAGAAGGGAGTACCATGCAGCCACTGAAAACAATGTTTTAAAGGAGGGGAGGTAGCTAGCACATCAATGAAAATAGGAGGAAAAGACTCTAAGGAGAAAGGGCATGAATGCAAGTATGGAGTCAAGCAAGCACAAATCATGTATGGGCAGAGGAAAATAATTTATTTCAGAACACTATTTGAGAAGAAACAGTGAGCGTTAAGGAAATCCCTAGTATGTGGGTGTACCATATGCATCACTGAACTTACCTGGGCAGCACTGCGAAGTTGGAATGAACGTAAGCTTTGGAGCCAAAAGACCTGGAATCTGATATTAAAACTCATCCTTTCATTTACTACCTAACAGTTTTGAATCTGAACCTCAGGTCCCTATCTGGAAAGCTGAAATAATAATACCTTTTCATACTAGTATTATAAAAATGAAATCAAATGATGTCTGTAAAGTACTGTGCATGCTTATGTCACAATAAGTACTGACAAACAGTAGTTTTTTGTTATATAAAACAAGTATGCAAAAATATCTATTTTAAAAGAAGAGTGGAAGTAGAAAGGTACGGTTGTTAAAGATTTGCATGGTACTAATTTCTAAGTAAGTGTCTAAATTATATGCACCAATAAGCATGTACTGTGTAAGTTTTTTCACCAGTGGAGTAGCACATTTCATTACCCACAAATTGAGAATGCAATCATATACTGCCTCTTACTGTTTCACAGGAGAATTGATTGCTCTGTGATAATGTAAGCTGAAATTATTTAAAAATAGAATCTATATTTCTGTTAGAAGTCTTTACAGCTTATAAAATACTCTTCTGCTAATTTTAGTTGTGAGAGTGGCAATGTAGGTGTTGACTGGCTGCCTTATTGGTCAATCACTTGCCAAGACCTATACAAGTGAGAAAAGTAGACCTCATCTTTTAGTTTAGAGCTAGTGCTTTTTCAATTTTAGTTTAGAACTCGCGCTTTTTCAACTAGTGCTCACTGTTTCCTCTTTACACCATTTATTTGTATAAATGTTACCAATAACTAATCACTTTCACTTACTTATTTCATAGGTCCAATATGTGAGAACCTTTATAGTCACTATGTCTAAACTATCTGAACAAAGCTTATTTGAAAGAAAAACAACAGTGGAGAAACAATTATGTAACTAAAAATACCTATATTTTTATTTTAGAAGCTATTTAGGAAAATTTATCATAGTACGTTTATATCAAACATTTTCAGTAAAACATAATTTTATTCAACTAAGTAGGTATTGTATAAGTGAGGTTCATTAGGTTTAAATAGAATGAATAGCAATTTAGCAAACATAGCAAGAAAGACACTGCTTTTATACTAATGTTATTAGTGTGTTAACAAAGTAAAAAGGGTCAACTAAGGCTGAGAAGTTATTTCTAGCTCTGATACTTCATGATGGCTGGCTTGATCACCACCACTACTGGTATCATTTTTAAGTGTAGATTTCATTTACTCCACACCTATTATTTGCCAATATTCAGCACTAATTTTCTAAAAAATATGGTAAATTGAAGTACCACTAAAACTTTTTATGTATTAATAGAACTTAAAAACTACAAAAATACATCCAAAGTTATTATCATTAGGGGAAAAGAAACCCAGACTCTATTTAATTCAATAGTGTGCTTTTCACCTATCTTCATGCAGCAAAGTAATTAAAGAAATGGACAAAAAGGCTTTCATCTCCAAAGAAAATAAAACAAGAAGAGGATTTAAGTAAAAACAAATTGTTCTTTCTTTCTTTCTTTCTTTCTTTTTTTTTTTTTTTTTTTGGAGCAGGGTTATTTTAAGGAACACGGTAAGGAAACAGTAGAACCTATTCCTAAGGATATCTTTGAAAATTTCTTTAGGAACATGGATCAGATGCAAGGTTGCTTCATATCCTTTAATCTTCTAGCTTTCATTACTCCGAAAGAAAGGAAACATTTACTGAGTGTCCACCATGTACAAGATACTTTAGTGGGATTAAATTTAACACGTTTAAAATATATTTCGTACTAAGATAATTTTCAACGTTGGACTTTGCCACTAGGGGGCGTTTATCCCGTTTAATAAATTCCATTGAAGATTGGAAGAGCTTCAGGTTAAAAGTATGTCACACACTTGATTCCAAAATTTTATGGAATTGTATATTTAAATGGCCATCTTATTAACAGTCCTATAATTATGCTACAACATATTTTCTCTTTACGATACAATGTCTGACTTAAGGGGTCAAAGTTAAATAGATCTCAATAACATTTTCAGCTGAAACAAGATGAATTTTTTTGACAATGTGCCAACATATTATAGAGCCTATTAGCCACAAACTAGTAATTTAACTAAAAAAACACATTAAACTTAATATTGGGTTTATGGCCCCATTCTTAAAATGGACTTTGATTAACTGCATTTTAAGTTAACCATTTTTTCATTCTGGTAAAAACAATTTATAAACAATTTCATGTGATTCTGTAAATGCCAGCACTAGGCTTTTCTTATGGAGCAGTGACATTTTAAGGCATTTATATGATTAAAAGCAATGCACGATGCTCAATAAAGATCTGATAAATATTTATACTAATTAAATAAAATAAGGGTGAATGTAGAAACGCTTTAGTTGTATTGTATTCGAGATTATTAAATACAAATATACTAACATCTTAGAAAGTATATTAAAATGCTAAGATAAAATAATAAAAGGTACATCTTACATAAATAAAATGTACAGTACTATGTTTAAAGGAAAAATCTTTAATAAAACATTAACGAGAAGCCAAAAATGTTAAACTTTATGATGAATAAAAATTAAAGCATTCTATTAAAGTCATCTAAGCCTTTCTGTAACACACTGACTGAAATGCAGTAACTTAAAAATCCATCAGGGGCATCTTCAGGTTATCTGACCATATACATAAAACCTATGATAACTCTATTATATATAATGCCAAGTATACCAGTGTATTAATAAATACATAGAAGCGTTTGTGACGCCTCTCAATTTTAAATAACCACTAAGGACAAAGTCAAATTAGACAAATACATTTTTATATAAGAAACCAATCTATAAAACGCAAGTATTGAAAACCAATGTCAACAGAACTGCCAAGACAAAAACTGCTGATTTGTCAGTATTCCTAATGTTGGCCATACTGCAGGATAAGTCTTCCAAATTTTAATCAGTCTATTTATAGATGAATATCCTCTGTTAATGCCAAGTCTAGATCTGAAGACCTATAATCACTGAAATTCTAAAAGGAAATTAAAACTCCAGAATAATTAAACTTTTAAACTGGTCTTAAGTATTAATCTTAAACTGTTATTTTTCTGGTTTGAATTAGTGACCTAAATTAAGTTTTAAGCCAAATGCACACTTCTGATTTGTTCTGAGTAACCGTTTAATGTGTTCTGAAAATTGTTTATGAAAGTTTGAAAAATGTGAAGCAAAATAAGTCAGGGATAATAATTAGGAATAAACACATGAATACTGCCAATTCACAAAAGTAAATCTGTCTCAAGCACGGGTTTTTCTTTTTTCTGGAAAAAAAAAAAAGTATTTGCGATCTCACACAAATATCCCACCAAAACAAACAAACAAAAAATCTAAGTTTGTAATCTGTCAGAACTGACTAAACTTGGAAGTAGAGGGAAAAGGGAATTAGACAAAGATGCTAAGAATGAAAACGTCTGTTTCAAGTAATTCCAGCTCCAAATCATTTACAGACCCTAAAACCACCTCCAAAGTGATAAGAAAGCTGCCCCAAAAGGTGACTGAAAATACAAATCCGTTACTGTATTCTGGCTACTACACTCACTCAAAACTGCTACCATCTCTATACATTGTACCGATGCGTTCACGCTGAGCGCTACAAAATTAGTGCCAAATAAGTAAAGAGTGCAACAGAAAGCCAGTTGCACCGGACTAAAAAATACCTTCAGAAGCACTCATTCCCTTTCCTGCAGACAGCACGTGTTTAGCTCCTAAAAGCATCTCCCCCCATCAGGAGTGAGAAATGGTGACCGTCCTCTAACCTAACCGAGGAGGATATTAAATGTGAAAGGGGATTTCAAGACGGGCTTAGGTTAACTAATCCACCAGCCAGCCCCACAGGGCAGACCAGAGCTGTCAACAAATTAGGACCACAGCACAGTGAACAGTGCTACAAATGGGTGGGGGGGTGAGGGTGGGGGTGCGAGGGTGCGCGTGCCCTGGAGACTGGGGAAAGGGGGGCACAATTTTTTAAATGCAATCTTTAAACACGGAAAAAGCCAAGGCCTGGGTTCCTCGACCGGCCTCCAAATCGCGATTCCACGGACTGCGTGGGGAAGGGACCTAATCCCCAGGCCGCGGGGATGTGGGCACGGGTGAGGCGGCCTCCCGCACCTGCGCGCCTGAGCGCCCACCCCCGCGCCGAGGACGCGCACCAGACACTCACGTTTTCTGCACCGGCTTCCGCCGCTTGCGACTGGCGTAGGTGATGTTGGCGCTGCTGCTGTTCATGGTGCCCGGCTGGCGGCTGCTCCTCCCCGGGCGCGGACAGCCCGGTCCCAGGGACCCGGCGGCGACCGGGACGACAGCGGCGGCGGCGGCCGGCGCCGGGTTCCACGCAGCCGCGCCCGCTCCACCTGCACCCTCCCCGGGCGGTGGCGAAGACGCCGCACTCCAAGAGCCTTGGCTCCCGCAGCCCCGAGTCCAAGTGCACCGCCCAGGCCTGGCGCCGGCGGTCGAGGGGCGGAGACCGGTGAGCCGGGCGACGCAGGTGCCGTCTATACGAGCGGAGGCGGCGCAGCGCTGCCCGCAGGTGAGGCGGCCCGAATGGGAGGAGCCTGGGCCGCCTGTTTGGAATCCCAGCCTGGGTCGCGCGCTCTGGCGCCACGCCCCGTGACCGTCGCCGCGGCCCCTTGGGTGAGGGAGGCGACGCCGCGCTGCTCCTGGGGCTTCCCCGATCCCGGGTACTTCCCGCCTTTGGAGCTCGGACTCCGGCCGCCGCTTTCGGTGCCACCAGCTTCCGCTCGACTACGCGTCTGCCTCTGGTCTGAGCCGGTGGTCCCAGTGACGCTCTCGGAACCTAGCGTCGAGGGGACTAGACAGGAGCTGCCTCCCGCCGCCTCTTGCACCGGCTGAATGGCAGAAACGCCCCTGACTCCTCTCTGGCCCCGCCCAGCCTCGTGGCCCCGCCTCTCGAAGCCCCGCCCCCTCACAGCCCCGCCCCCATTCTACTTGACTCCGCCCTTCCTTGCTGTTCCCTTGAGGGCCCCACCCTCTCGGCACGTGATGACGCAAGGCGTAATGACCCCCTCCCCCACCCCCGGTGTCCATGTTCTTGAGGTCAAGGGAAGGAATCTGTGGACACATTTCCAGCCCAGAAAGACGTGTGACAGCAAATTATGTGTAGCCAAACGCTTTGTAATTAGACAGTCTCAAGGATGGAAATGCCAAATAGTGAGCTTAAATTCACCTATGTAAGAGACAGTGACGCAGCTAACTTTGGGCTAAGAATTACAGTGAGCTGGCAGAAAACCAGTGGAACTATAAATTTTCCTAGAGAAGAAATCTTCAGGAGGCCACATCTGAGTTGAACTTGAAGGCTAGGCGTTTACCTGTCTTTTTGTTTGGGTTTGTTTTTTGTCTCCATACTAGGCAGTATAGTATTTTTTCCCCAGCCAGAATAACTTTGTTAATCTATAGTCAGATTTCAGCAAGGTAGAAAGGAAGGAAGAAAGGCAGCAGGAGGCATTTGAGGATAAGTAGTCTGGTATGGTTGGAGAGAGGAGCTGGAAGTGAAATTCAGGAATTCTAGGATCAAATCATAAAGCTTTGATCAAGAGTCCAGATTTTATTCTGCAGTCAATGGAAACATTTTAAGGATCCACAGCAGGAAAATGACATTCTGGTGTCTTGGAAAAGTCACTCTGGAATGAAAGTGCAAACTAGATTACAGGAGAGCAAGACTGGATGCAGGGAGAGTAGTTAGGGAGCTGTTGAAGTAGTCCAGGTAAAAGTCCAGGGAAGTGACAGTGGGATAGAGAAAAAAAAAGAAAGAATAGATAAGGAAATAGATGACGAGAGGAGTACGTTTTGCTTGTCAGGAGCAGAAGGGCAACCAGACTAAGATGTCTAGATGAAATCTCACAGCATATCCATTCCTACATTTAAAAGTGTCATCAAACCATTTCCACCTGGTGAGTTTGTTACCTCAAATTCAGAACACTGATAAATTGAACATCATTTTCTTTAGCTGAAACCTTGCTCTGCCACTGGCTCAACCATTCTCCAATGAACCTACGAAACATCTTCAACTCCCCTACCACTTACATCTAAATATTCCAGCAAATACTATTAAATTTTGTGCTTAGCAACATCCCTAATTCATCTTCCTCCACCTTATTCTTCAATAATAACACCGAGAGTGCCCAACTCAAATACCATATCATTTGCGATTCCTATCCAAATATTGTGGATAACTACCCCCTCCACACATTAATTCAATTAAGAGATATTTTGAGGCTAATGCCTGTGTGCCAAGATTGTTCTAGTACTGAGGAGACAATGGTGAACAAAAACAGAAAAGTACCATATTCTCAGGAAATAGTGTAATGGAGAAGTACACGATTCAGTATGGTCTTCTAGTAGAGAAATTTGACCTAGTCATTGAGACAAAGATAGGCCTTCCCAAAATCATGAGAGTTGAGTTGCGGTCTGAAGGATAAAGTCTTAGGAGAAAAGAGGGGAAGGGCATTCCAAGCCAATGAAATAGTACAAGCAACATCCATTTAGTGGGAAGGAGCCTGGTAAGTAGTACGATGGACTGAAACAAGTTCAGGATGAGCAGGGGAGAAGGGCACAAATGATCAAATTTGTGTTTCAAAATATCACCGTATCTGCAGAGTGTAGAACAGATAAAAGAGGGAGGAGCAGAAAGGAATGGAAATCATACTCCTTAGGAAACCATTAGCAGTAGCCCAGCCAAGGGATGACAATTACTGATACAAGGGTGGAGGTGATAGTGTAGATGGAAGAAAAGTGAATAGGTTCCATAGAATTTGAGGAGGTCTTGAAAGATGGAAAGGATGAATATATGACCGTGACAGAAGAGGATGTGTCAAAAACACAATAATAGCTTTTTGGACTATGTGTCAGGCTATGTAATAATGGCATGTGCTGGTGGGAAATTATTAATTTAGCTTGGATCTCTTATGTTTGAGGTACCTTTGAGACATCAAAGGTGTCAAGTAGGCCGTAGGATATATAGGTTTGTAACTCAAAGATGTGTGAGCTGGAGAATATCTCAGAAATCATTTGCATTTAAGTGACAAGAGATTATGAAGGTTGTGGGGTGCAAATATATGCTAGAAAAGGAGGACTGGGCACCAAAAAACTTCAGTGTGTAATATCTAATTGCTGGATAGAAGATTATGGTGCTGTAAAACTGAAAAAGAGCTGCTAGAATGGTAACAAGAAAATAAGGAGACTTTTGTGATGGAGGACAAAGTAGAAAAATGTCAGAGTGGTTCACAGCATTGAATGCTGTTGAGAGGTTGAAATAAGATGGGAACTGGAAATGTCCTTTTTGGCTTCTCAAAATGGGGTAATTTGTAACTTTAGTGAACACCGTTGGTGGACTAATGGACCTACAAATCACATGGAAGTGGGAACAGAATTGAATTGGAGATGAGGAGGTGACATTGGCAAACACAGACAATTGTTTTTTTAAAGAAGTTTGTGAAAGTGAGAGACCTAGGATGGCAGCTAGGGGGAGTAAAGGGTTAAATTGAGATTTTTATTTTTTTCTTTTTCTTTTTAAGTGGGTGGTACTTAAGCAGATGAGAGAGAGGTGAGAGAGAGATTGAAATTGACTGTGTAACAATGACAAAGAACATTAAGAAGAACTGATACTAAAAATAGTAAAGGCAGGAGGGAAAGA